TTAAGTTTCTTAAATGGATTTTGATATTTATATTTGCCATAATTAAATACGTTAATATTTTGTTTTTATTATGAATTTATATTTTCTAGTACATATTAGTTTGTTTGTTTGTAGTAAAGCACTCTTGATTTCATGTTGCTTTAAGGACAAAAGTAATGTATCGTTTAGTTTATTCTATTGTATTTAGGATTCTCGTCGACCCATTACTATTTAAAAATTTAGTAATTCGATAAGATGAGATGCAATTTTTACATATTTACTTGACTTGTGTTAACTACCTTTAAAACGTAACTTGGTAATACTGTTTTACAATAAATAAGTTGTAGTAAGACTTCGGTAGAAGCAAGTAATGAAAGCAAGACAGATATTAGAAAAATATTCTTACATGTAAATGTGATGCTTCAGTGTAAAAAGATCAGATTTCTTTTATCATATTAGAATATTACGTTTGCGGAATGCAGAGATAAGTGAATGGCTTCTGTAAACGATTGTTTGATGACAATAACATATAACCTAACAGAGAAATCATTTTGGTAACTGCCTTAAATTCATTAGGCTCACTTTTTAACATAAGTAATACTTCAGAAGAAAATTTGTAGCAGAGGGCTGAAATACCTCTAAGGTACATTAAGTATGAGGATTTAAGTCATAATTGCTTATAAGTTTTTCATCTCAGTGGCTCAGCGGTGTGAAAAGTTATAACACTAAAAACCGGGTTTCAGTATACGAGATAGGCATAGCACAGGTAACCCATTGTGTATATTTGTGCTTAACATCAAACTTGGATTATTCTTACGAAAACCTGATGACCTTTTTTTTGGCAAAGAACATAAATTTCATTCAACATATCAAATTATGAGTAGAAGTAAAGGATAATGTAATAATATGTCAACCACATTAAGTCTGCTATAGCCAATGCCGAGGAGGTCTGAACTCAACATCAGGACTCATTAGACCAGCTGGAATATGACACGCTATCTATATAAGAGATACAATATACAACTTATTTTGTGTATAGTTAGGGACAGTGCATGAATTGCTGTCAAACTGTTTTGTAAGAATAATAGTTTTAATAACATACTTATCTAAGTAAAAGTGTAAAACTGCTACTAACTGACATCCCTAAAAGTCTGAATAAAAGAGCAACTTGTTCATGAAAACTAGCCAAATAAGCAGTAAAATATGTTAAAAATGCTATTTATAGGTATAAGTGTGGTACGTGTTATAACAGTATCAGTTTGAAAATAACAGAAAAATATGCTGATTACAACTAGTTTCAGTTCAATTTTGTTTTACATTTTTCGTGTTTCTTAGTTGGAATAACCTTTCTAACACACACGGCTGAGTTTACTAATTTCATTTTGTCAAAATTGTGTTAACTAGTCTTTATAAGTCATGTAGCTTCTATTCTCGAGTTCAAAAGTAGTTTCTGATTAGATACAGGAACTAGCAGAGAATAATATATGTATATATATATGTGTTACATATTTCCACCACTGACAAATAATTCTATAGGAATTTTGGTGATGATTAATAACAAAATAAGCTTCACACTAATGAAATTACTTAGTCTTTTTTCACAAAGTAATATGTATATATAAAATAAACCTGAAGAAGTTCCTTGGTTTCAGCTGATAATCAATATATATAAAAGCCAAGTGTCGGTCGGTCAGTCAGTCGGTCAAATTTCGTGAGTTACACAATTCCAATTCCACTTTTTTTCCTACAATACTTCCTCTTTTGATTTTCCATTTTGATTGAATTAATCGCTAACTTAGGCGTAAAACAGCTTCTAAATTTGGAACTTTTTCTGCTATATAAAAGCCTGTCAAGGAGAGAGATCCCAGGATCAGATCATGCATGGCATTATGTGTGTGACACCACATCATAATGACGTCAAGCTAGGTAGATCGAATAAGAAAGCCAGAACGACTCCTGTGAAAAATAAGTCAAACATTAGCGCAAATCTATGCTTGGGAATTATTACGAAAAAGCCTTTGTTAAAACAGACTGAATGTACCAATTATCTGTAGGGAAGAGGACGATCCTCAGAAGAAGAACGGTGTGTATGCAATCAAATGGTCATCGAATGTTTTAATCTTTTAACCAAAGGCACCAATATGTAGCATGTTTACACTCTTTGGGTAAAGATAGATATTGCTCATGATAGGCTTTGGTTTCCCGAAGCTAGAGGGTTCTTTATTTTTCTTATGTCTGCTTACTGGCAGCAGAGTTGCAAAGGCATATTGGATGGTTCAAGTTTGGTAGTTTTTGGTTTCCAGTCATTTTTGACGGGCTTTTATGCTAGTTCATAATAACACGTATCCTGTAGATGCAATGAACAGTCTAAGCTCATGAAAGAAACTCTTTACTTGAAATATTTTGTATGCGTCATCTAATTTATAATCATAGGACAAAACCCCACACTTTAAATAATGAAACAGTACGAAGAAAAGTCATTACATCTTATGTACCCACCTGAAATGATAAGTCTTGCGGCCCCTTGAACTGACTCTTCGTCGTTTTTTACATAACACTGGTACATACCACCGTCTTCCCGTCTTGACGGATGGATATATAAGCTCTCTGGACTCGGAAACATAATTCTTCCATCAGCTTTTAGAGGGCGCTTGTCTTTCCACCAGCTTACCGAGTGTATCGGGTATCCTTGTACAGAGCAGTTTATCACAGCTGGATTTCCTGAATTGACTTCTTGATACATAGGGTGGACAGCTACTTTGAGTTCCACTAGAGAATTAAGAATGATAATTTATTAAATACATGTTTTGGTATGCCGGACAACTTTTGTTTAATTAATGGATTTCGCGCAGGGCTGTCTGCGCTAGCCGTCCTTAATTTTGAAGTGACAGACTAGAGGATAGGCAACTAGTCAATAGCATCAACCACCAACTCCTGGGCTACTCTTCTTAGAACGAATAGTTGGATTTGACTGTCATTGAGCTAAGGGCCGCGATTTGGTTTAGTTAATCTTCACACAATAGAGGTGGGGAGAATCCCTTAATATTTACAGTTTTTACACATTCTTTTTCACTGTTTCCATAATTATTTAATCATATTAAAATATATTCAACGCAAAGAGATTCTGTTTTTAGATGCATGTATGTATTTATATATATGTATGTGTGTGTGTATAATCATATGATAAAACAACGAGATTAAGCAATTGGAACTATAGAAATAAGGCAAGGAGAGGGCTTCAGCCTACACCCAGTATTCATTAATTAGGAATAGCATCATCTTCAATCACTGGTGCTACCCTGTCTACATAGTCAATTATATAAGAAACGAGGGTATAAAATAAATAACAGAAAACGATTTCATACACCTGTGCACTATAAGTTAGTACTGATGAAGAGTGTAGGAAATCTATTTCCAATGATTATTAATTAACACCGAGAGAAAATATATAGATAAACAAGAAAAAAATAAATCAATATAGAAAGTGAGCTAAGGCGTACAGTCACAAAGAAGTAATTCCAGTAAGGGTAATGTGTTTTTTACTTTTCCAATTTTCAACGTAATAGAATTAAGGTCTTGTGTTTTGTTTCAAATATTTATCAAATGAAAATCATAGATATACATATAATCATGAATTTATTAATAATTATGTTTTTCTATGACCTACACTACATCAGTCCTATCCCTTCTACCTTTTAACATCTTTATTAATAATTATGTTTTTCTATGACCTACACTACATCAGTCCTATCCCTTCTACCTTTTAACATCTTTATTAATAATTATGTTTTTCTATGACCTACACTACATCAGTCCTATCCCTTCTACCTTTTAACATGGTATTCGTTTAATATTTCATTGTTTGCAAACAAATGATGTTTTTGAAATTATGAATGTTTGTTAAACCGAAGATAAAGGCACTAAGATTATAAAGAAACATATCAGAGTCTGAGAAAGTATACAAACATTTTAACAATAGTAGTATAATTGTTTGAAAAAAAAAGAACACACGTCCAAAGAAGCTGCCAATACTCAACTTAGAATACAGAGCAGCTAAGCTGCTACATGTTCTAATGAAATTTGTTCATGTTTTAATTTTGTTGTTCGTGGATATTAAAATATGCTATAATTCATCTAGAAAGACAAAATCTGAAAGCTTTATAGTTATATTTACATATTTTGTGTCGGATGATATTAAAAATAAATTTTAAAACTACGTATAATTAATTAACAACTTTAAAAGGTATTTCAAAATTTAATATTATTTAATCAATATATATGTTATTTGTTATGAATCTATACAGTATTGTGTTTATCTTCAACATACCTATAACATCCAGTTTAACTTCGCCTCTTTCTTGACCAACGTCATTACTAACCATACAAAAATAGGTACCAGCATCTCGAATGGTCACTCGTCGAATAATCAGTGTTCCATCAACTTGGACAATGCGTTTATCACTGTCAACAACAGTCATTCGACCATTGTTCGAAAAGTACCATGCATAACGAGGTGTAGGATAGCCTTGGGCCAGGCAAGGTAGATGGACAGTTGATTCCTCTCTTGTTTGAATATTTTTATGAAAGTGGACAAACCTTGGAGCCTGACTGGTATGAGGCTCTGTGGATGAGAATACAAAGGTGTTATATTATGTTGATATTGGATACTAGAGTATTTGTAACGGAAACTGCTTTGATTCAACAAAATTAAAATGTTATGATTTATATAACTCGCTAGAATGTAAAATCTGGAAGGCGATTTTTGAAAACTAAGCAGCTGATTTGGAAATCACGTGTAACCATATTTCATTTTTCACCTTGTATTTCTATATTATCCACGCTGAATATGTTTTTAGCCATACATGAAAGCCTCAATAAACACAACATACAAATAACCTGTGATCTTATTTTAAACTGTCAATCAATCACTGTTGAACAATTTATTGATCTAGAAGCAATCAGATAAACCAAGTTCTATTTAAGTCCTTCCTATAAAAAAATAAAACAAACAAACTACATTGACAAACAAATATATTTGTAGTAAATAGAAAACATTGCTATTAAACTGTAGAATCTTATTTTAAAAACTTTAGACAAACAACTAATTGTATAATTCAAATACAATAGAAAACCATTTCTTCAGGAGCACGAAAGCAGTAAATTGTCAGGCTCTTTGAGTCAGACAGGAAAATGGAAACTTTAGTTGCATTATAAACTGTTTTAATCACAATCTAAAGAACATCTTAGTGCAATATTCTCGTTCCAGGTTTGAGTTAATACTACTTGACTTTATTGCAACTTTTATAGATGTTACCTTAATGAAAAATGTTAACAGCGTTTGATGCAGACAAGAGTGTGATACTTAAAGTTTTTTGTTGTTGTTTTCGTTAAGGTAGCTGAGAGCAGCAGCGAAGCTAACGTCACCTGCAATGCAATTAAGAATTATTTGTTAACATTATGTGCAGCATGTATAACCATATTTCGCTGAAGTGGAATGAAACATCTCGAAGGATGTGACTTGTCTGCAGTGGCATTATACACACTACTCTTGTGTATCGCATGTTTGTTCAGTCACACGAAACAGACCTAAGATGCAAATAGAAGGTAAAATCAAAGCAATATATGCACACAGAAGAAGCAAGAAGAACAAAATAAGAAAAGGCCGTTATATTGAGGAAAAAAATACGTATATAATAAAACATTAAGTGTTAATGATCTGAAAACACATAACAATTGAACGTGAAAAATTAGTAACTATTTTCTGCTTAGTATGTATGTTGCCCATATTGACTGATAGAGAAGCTAGCTATCGTTTCAAAAATATATAAAAACTTTGCGTGACTGTGAAATTCAATGTTTTTATGGGTAATAAGTCTCTGTCTTCTTGTTCATTGGTTTGTCTTTATACAATGTTCACGAGAAAGGATGGAATCCGTCAAAATTGATGGTCAACAGCAAGGTCCAAATTTTCACCAGTTTCACCTGAGTAAAATATATTTAGGCATTAGAGCATGAGTAGCTAAATACTACATGGAAAAATACATGTTTTCCAGGATTACTTCGTTCTGCTTTACTCTATACACAATTGTACTGTGAGTTATTCAGGTTTTTAAAATTGTCTTTATTACATTAGGTATTTACCAAAGCAACAGACATCTTTTACGCAAGGTAAATGTAACCTACTGGTCAAGATGATGTCAATATCGTGGAGGAAATATTATTTGTTGATGAAAAATTATAAATATAATAATTTTAACTCATGAGCGATATGCAATGAAATAGTTTTAGAAATAATACAATTGCAGCTTTAGACAAAATAAAACTCGGTTCCACTTACGAACTGCAGAATAGTGACTAATTCGTGTGACTTTGTTTCTAATCATAGGTGAGGGTATGGATTTTCCAGCTTATGTTTACAATAGAAAATTTTAAATACTACAAGTATTGCTTATTCTGGATACAAAAAACAACATTTAGGTGTTTATAGCGACGATGTAAGGGTTCCTCAAAGTGTGTAACAATACATAGAAAATTCAAACACATTTGAACATGCAATCTTGCGTATATGTCTTTTATTACATACACGTTTATACATTGTGTAATTTCATATACAAATCTACGTGAATGTATAGGGATATTGTATACTTTTCAAAAGAATTTCATATTATGTTTATGGTAGTAATACATGTTATTTGCTGCAAGAAAACTTGGATCTTTGTTGCGCGTGCTAGGCACGAGAAAAGATGAATATTACCGTCACGTGTGCGGATCTGCACAGTGTTTTTGGATGAAAGTTGAACCATTCTTGCGTGTTTTACTAGTGTAAACACGTGTACGTGCAATGTAGAGTGCTTCTTGTTCCAGGAAACTCATCAATTTTACTAGACAAATCAGCGTTACTAAGGTCTTGTATTTTTACTGGGCGGAAAATATCGTGCATTGCGATCAAACTGGAGAATAATAGAGAGTTGTTTGGTGTATCTTCTCTTCAGCGTATGTGGTTTATACATAGATTTATATTTACATTAATCACATGTAAATCATTGTAGAGCGAAATAATAGCAGTAAGTATACACAGTTGTACAAATGGAAATATGTAAAAGTGCTACACGCAAACAAAGAGAATGACTGTTAATAAAGAAAAGTTTGTTTGTAAACCAGAATTATAGAAGTGATGTTAAACATTATTTTAACACATGTTTCTTAGATTGTTGAAGAAAATGTATCTGCATGATATTCATTGGTATACAAATCTATGTAGACTTATTTATATCTCATGTATTAACAGATATATGAGTAGATCTACTTTTTAGCCTGTCGTATGAAAGATAGACGTACTATATATATTTGATGACGAGGAACCCACTTTGAGACTAATAATGGCTGGAGACGGCTTGAATGGGTAATGAAGAAAAACTTTAATATAAGTTTAACATAACAGCAAATGTACAACGTTTCGACAAAGTTTTGTCATCATCAGGTACAAGTAATTTACACTGACACGGATATATATATACAGTATTGAAGTGTCTAACTGCTATCCACGGCATTATAAGTTGTAAATCACTCGGGGAACATGCAGCTCACGTTACGCTATCGAATTACATTACCCACGAGCTGCTCGCGTGCATGCTTTGTGAACAGTTTTAATTATATTATTATTACTTATTTTACCTGTTCTAGTCTTAAATAACTTAAAAAGATCTGTACTTTTAATTTTAGTTACTTTTATAATAATAAATAAAGAATAAATATGAAAAACAAGAAATAAAGTACCTACCTAATCTTTTTTTTCTTGCCCTCGATTGTCAAGGAGAGTCAATCCTGATTTTTGTTAGCAATTATGGTAAAGCACTTAACTTAGAAGAGGTATTTAGGCACCCCGGGGTGTTGGTTTAGAGTAGGGTTGTTTTGTTCATCTTAATTATACCTCTTCTAAGTTTCACAACAGTTCCGGTCATGTGACTTCTTTGTTGCTATCCACGGGTCAAAGGGCAATAAAACAATAAAATTTAATTATAAACAGATGTATAATGTTACTAAGTTGGAGCTACTTAGGATAAACAAATGTAGTTTCATGTTACAATTTGAAGCATTACTAGAACGAAAAGAAGATTAATATAGGTTTATTTTGATTTATTTTGGTGGTTACGAAGTCAGTCAAATTGACTGATCCCATTTTGAGAGTAGGGTAGAGAAAATAAAAACTATAAGGATTTAGTGAAAAAAACGTTTGAAATGTATTTAGGAGGTTTTAGGAATTACACAAAGGAAATTTTAACATGAAAATTACTTTGCACACGGACTATTCAAAACAAATACTCAGTATATTCATGGACAAAACTATTTTATTAAAAGTACTTCACTAAGAAATGACTTTTTGTATGTGAAAGACTTGTAATATTAACTGAAAGACTGCCTAATATCATGAAGACATACCCAATATATATATATATATATATATATATATATATATATATATATATA